TATTAAAAAAACAATTTAAATAATATAAATTAAATTACAATATACAGTATAATATAAAATATATATTTTTTATTAGTTTATTTAATTGATGTTTTCTTTCTTTCTTTTTTATTAGTTTGATATGCAATTTTGGAACTCTATTGTGTTTAAAATCTAGGTCACAAGTTGAGAACCACAGCAATGTCTTACAGCGACTTAACACTGCTTTTGTGCTCCAGGGTCACATATAGGCAGAATTCAGGGCCAAAATTGTCAAAAAGTTACACAATTGACCTGAACTCACCCTATATATGTAATATCTCGAAAACACATTCACTGAGATATCATGGACCAGGTAGCCTTTCTGGTGACTGTCCTTTAAATGTGGTCAGTGAAGGTGAAAGACTAATTAGAGAGTCATTATTGGATCTCAACAGTAAGAGATCATATTCAGCAGTGTACCTGAGGTTCATCAGTAATTGACTGCCAAACTCATCATTGGGCAAACTAGCAAGCAGCACTGCAGCAATTATAAGTGGTGTGGCTTTCTTTTAATGGTGATGCTATTTTGCTGTGACAAATTCTACCTGTGCTTTAATGAAGTATAAAAACAACCCATTACAACAACTTAAACATATAAAGCTGGATGAAAAAGTGTGTTCAGTGTTATAAGAGTGTTTCAATAATTGTTCAGTACCATACTACTAGTAATATGCCACATCTGAGGCATTTTCAACACTACTTTCTCTGTCAATGGATAAGACATTTAACACAATAACATACAAAATAGCCATTTCACTTTTGCTAACTATAATTACAATTATAATAAAGAATAATAGGTGTATTAAGCATTCCATGTAATGAGGAGCATTTAAATGTTTATCTTTTTATAAATTATACTGTTTCACAAAAATAGTAGGCAGCATACAGTGTAAATTGTGCAGTATGCAGTATGTCAGCATTCCACTCTAAACACAACTTAAGTGCTCATTTAGCTGGATGCTAACATGATAATATAACTGAACTTCTGAACCCAACTGCTCATTGGGATTAGTGGGATGCTAACATGACATAGTTGGAAGCTACTTGTTCAATTAACCACGCCATGTAATGAGGAATTGTGACAACCATCTAGCATACTACTCTTTACATTATATTGTGTAGTACACAGTAAGCCATAGGTCTTCATCCCTGCTCCTGGAAACCCATTATCCTGCTAAGTTTTTGGTGCATTCCATTTGTACTTAGAAGTCAGAAATTCTCTTAACTGGAAATCCCCTAAAGTTGCAGTTCAGACTCGGAAATGCAACAACCTCGACTTCAGAATCCAAAATGGCAGCTCAGCGTATCAACATAAGTAAATCAGTAGTAATATATTGTTGATTAGCACTTCTGTGCACACGATACTTATCTGTGGTATTAACTGTGGAAAATATCACTTTGTATGTGTTTTTATTGACTGTTATTGCTAACAATGGATGAGTTTTCAACTAGTGTACTACAACACGGTCAACTCAGGTGACGTAATTCCCAGCTCTGACATCCATCTTCCAAGCTAAATGGGATGCGGTATTAATTCCAACCTGCTTCAACACACCCGCCCGTGATTTTAAAGTTACCCTGAACACCTTGATTAGCTTGTTCAGATGTGACTGATTAGGGTTGGATCTAAATTAGGCAGGACAGTGGGTCTCCAGCAACATAGCTGAATGATGTCTGCAGTAAAAGCATTATGTTAGCAGTCCATTCTGAACATAACTCGGCTCATTTAGCTGGATGCTAACATGAAAGTAGCTGAATTTATGAACTCAACTGCTCATTGGGATTAACGCATGGGTGTCCAATCCTGCTCCTGGAGGGCCATTGGCCTACGGAGTTTAGCTTCAACCCCAATTAAACACACCTGAACAAGCTAATCAGGGTCTTAATAGGCATATTAGAAACTTCCAAGCAGGTGTATTGAGGCAAGTTGAAGCTAAACTCTGCAAGAAAGTGCAGAGTTTGCAAACCGTTGGATTAGCGCAGGGCTGGCCAATGTCAGTCCTGGAGAGCCACAGTCCTACAGAGTTTTGCTCCAACCTTGATAAAAACTCACCTGCCTGTAGCTTTCTATTAACCCTTAGACCTTGATTAGCTTGTTCAGGGGTGTTTGATTAGGGTTGGAGCTGAACTCTGCAGGACTGTGGCTCTCCGGGACCAACATTGGCCATGCTTGGAATACTGGAAAGCTAAGATAAGATAAAATTAATCAAATACTGATCTTCTTTTGCAATGAAATATCAACAATCCCTGTACACTTTAGTAACTGCTCCAAGCAACACGTTTTAGCAAACAATCAAGAGTATAGCAAGACCTTTCCGCATCAAGTAATTTGGACAAGGCTCCTCACCTGATGACCTAAAACTAGACCCAGGTACTGGTGACATCTCCACCTCCCCTTCTCTCTGGGGACTTTCTTCTGACAACGACTCCCTCCAATGAACCAACCCGTCTCCTGGCTCCCTTATATCTGGACTCTGCATGGAGTCCGAGACCGACTCAAAAGCGCTGTTCTCCTCCTCCTCTTCCTCCTGCGAGGAGAAAACTGTGCTCTCCGACAGGCGGGTGCTGTCAACCGAAGAGAGGTGCGTATGGCTGCAAAGGTGATTACGCCCCTCGTAACCTGAGTTACTGTAACAGGAAGTGCTGTAACAGGACGTGCTGTAACAGGAAGTGCTGTAGCAGGAATTGTCACACAGTTCGCACTCACTCTCTCGAGGTTCCCTTCTGTTTACGCCTCCACCACCCACTTCCACGTGTTCGCTTTCCAGTCGGAGGGTGGAAGGTGAGGGTCTTTCGCACTCCAAAAGTTGGTTGAGTTCGGACAGGCGCTCGATGGAGAGGCTACGTGGTAGGGTACGCCTGCAACAAGGTCTAGGACACTCGGGCACGATGGATGGAGACTGTGCTTCAGACACCTCGTCTTCTTCCTCTTTGTCCTCTTGGGGTTTCACAGTGATTTCCTCAGAAGATTCTGGGTCAAGTACCTCGTCTTCATCTTGGCTGTCATTGTGGCACTGAGCTGATGGCAAGCTGTGCAGCAGATGATGAATGCGGATGTAGTGAGAACGTGGCGTCTCTGGTTCCTCACAGGCCGAGGTGATGACTGTCTCTAACTCAGACACGGGAAGTGAACAGGGACGGCTCTTGCGCTTCAAGGCAGTTCGCATCCTTGGCGAGCAGGGTTCTTCATCATTCCCATCTCTTTCCACCCTCATGTCAACCTGCTCTGAGCTTGTGCCTCCCTCAACCTCTGCATGCTCTCCAGTAGGTCCCATTCCAGTTGGTCTACCCGTGTCTTCAGCTTCATGGTTCTCCAGGACCTCTAAAAGAGTCTCCACCACCGTTTCCTCCTGCATCTCCTCGGACTCTGTTTTTCCAGGGTCTTGCTCCGCAGTTTCTCCTTGAGTGGCATCACTCAGTAGTGTCTCTCCTCGAGCTGTTACAAGCTCATCAGCTGATCCTTCTGCTTCTGGTTGGGTATCCTTACTGGGCTCAGCTAGAGAGGTAAGCAGCATGGCATCCTGGGTCTCTACCTCTGGAGGACTTTCTGCAGGCAGCTCCAGCATGTCAGGACCCAAACTCAATGCGTCCTCCAGAGGCAGATCAGAAGCAGGTGGTAGGTCCTCGTTGAGCTCCTGCTCAGGCTGCTGGTCAGGTGTCGTATCAAAGACTGGCATTGCATTGAGGGACACCTCCTCATCATCTACCAGAAAGAATAAGCAATCTGTTAATATGGTTATACAGACCAGCTATGAAATAACACAACGTACCTTTAACAAAAATCAGTCTAGAAATTCCAACCTAATCTCTCAGGAGAATGTTACTATTTCTTACAAGGTGTATGAATTTGTACAATGTGAATTGTACGAAAACATACAATATTTAGAAAAAGAAGCAAGCATGAAGGTCCACCCCTGCAAATGAGAATCCGGTAATACTTTAGATTAGGGAACACTATTCACTATTAACTATTAGCATGCATATTACTAGCATGTTGGCTGTTTATTAGTACTTTTAAAGCACATATTAATGCCTTATTTTGCATGACCATTTCTGCCCCACCCCATACCTAAACATAACTACTACAAACAACTACCTTATTTACTATCAATAAGCAGCAAGTTAGGAGTTTATTTAGGGAAAACTCTTAGTGAATACGTGTTCCCTAATCTAAAGTGTTTCAGAGAATGCATAAAAATTAATGCGAATTAGCAACCAATTCGGCAAAACATAAAATACCTAAAAATTGCTATGAGATTGTGTTGGAAAGGAATTTTAAAGGAATTGCTCTTCCCAAAATTAAAATCTGACAAAAAATAATTATCTCAGTATTTGTACCTTTGTTTGATAGATAAACAGATGCATTAGTAAACATGCTGCAGACCTGGATGAATTGATGAAGTTATCTCAAAACGAAACTGCAGCTGGCCGCTGACATGATCTGTTGGAAGCCGTCGGCCTAAAGTGTAACTCACCACACGGTCCCTGTTTACACACGAGAAACAAGGATACTTGACATTTTAAATCCCACAGGCAATTTACCATAAAATAAATCGAATGGCACACCAAAAACCTCACTGCAGGAGCCTATCCGTGCGTTTTCAGTCTTTTAAATGCATGTACGGTACCTTCTTGTAAACATTAAAAATAAATTAATATTTAGGCCTATGAAAACTGAAACCCTGGAAGAAAAAATTATGCACAAATGGACCAATAATTTGAAAAATAAGTCAAGAATTAGAGTGTAATCACAGTCCTCAGCAGGTTCACTGTCAGATAAAATGTGAATGATTAGCAGTAGAATTAGCAGAGACCTACCCGATAGCATGTTTCTCCAGCAGCCTCTGTACAGGCACAACTAACTTTCCCAGGAAGCGTTTGATGATGGGTCTGCTCTTGGCAAATTTATCTTTAACCTCTATCTCCAAAACGTCCGTCGGCAGGGACACAAAGTTAAATCGCTGTGAATAAAAAAAAAAAAAGAAGAGTGCTCAGTTTCTACATCAACAGATTGGTGTTAACTGCTGGTATTCAGTTTGTTTGTTTTTCTCTTTGTACTGCATGATTTCCATTTTATTTCATTAAGTTTGTTATCTCAAGGGAATTTGATGGTTCATAACACATGGACTGGAAATATGTTACTAATATATTGCTTCATTCCTGACCTTCCCAAATGGCTAATCCTTTATTAGATTTATAAAAAAATATTTTTTTTTTGTTGAAATTCATTAAAAAAATTTTAAATACTTAAAAAATAAATTAATAGTAAAAATAAATAAAATAATAATAATAATAATAATAAATTAAAATAGATGATTATTTTTAGCTTTATTGTGCCCATTGGCTAATCAGAAAATAAGAAATTATTGATTAAACTTTTTTTTTTTTAAATGAAAATACAAAAGTTCTATTTAAAATGTTAATACAAATTTAAATTGCCTTTATTATACCCCTTGGCTTATCAGAGTTAAAATAAATGTGATTTTTTTTTTTTTAATACTTGTAAAAATACATTAAATTCATATATATAAATATATAAATGATAAAAAATACAATTAAAATAGATTTAGCTATTGTTATTGGCTTTATTGTACCACGTGGCTTATCAGAATATTAAAAATATATATAATTATTACAAAAATATTCTGATGAAATTCATTAACAATTTTTTTTCACTTTTTTTAAATACTCGTAAATACATAAATTAAATTCATAGTAAAAAAAAAATAATAATAAAAATAACAGATTCAGTTATTGTTATTGGCTTTATTATAGCCCTAGGCTAATCAGAAAAAAGTGACGTGACGTGGCCAGGTATGGTGACCCATACTCGGAATTAGTGCTCTGCATTTATCCCATCCAAAGTGCACACACACAGCAGTGAACACACACACACACACCGTGAACACACACCCAGAGCAGTGGGCAGCCATTTTTTGCTGCGGTGCCCGGGGAGCAGTTGGGGGTTCGGTGCCTTGCTCAAGGGCACCTCAGTCGTGGTATTGAAGGTGGGAGAGACATTCCCTCCCCCCACCTACAATCCCTGCCGGTACGAGACTCGAACCCGCAACCTTTGGGTTACGAGTCCGACTCTCTAACCATTAGGCCACGACTTCCCCATATAATATATGGGGGTATATATATATTATGGGATGCTGCATCCTGGCTGTAGTCCATCAGAAAACTGCAGCGATGACGGAGTCTTTGAAAGCACAAGACTGGCTTGTTTTGTTCCCTGTGGCAGTTAACCAAGTATCACGATTCTTTTTCAAGGAGGCACACAGGACTTTTTAGGACAGCTTTTCAATTAGTGGCACACAAGCCCAAACTCAAACCCCCACCCTGCTCCCATAACCAAATGCAGTGTGTCCTCAAACGGGCTCTGGATAGACACGGCTCAGAAACACTTTACGTTAGAGACAGACCACAACTGAGTGGAAGATAACAAGCACAAGCAGAGAACTGCTGTCCAAATGCATTTCATTTAAATGTTCAGGGGTTGCATGTTTATGTGCCAAAGGTTGGTGCAGCAGTAATGTAGCAGCAATAATTCCTACAATTAAGAGAAAATAGTTGCAAACAGCTGCATGCTTCAGGGGTAGGATACTTACACTCTTCAGAGACACATTTAATGTTTAATGATTAATTTGATACTTTCAGTACTACAGTATGTATTTGATGCACAGCATTATTTTTCCAAGATTCACAGATTTCACGTGACAAGAGTCTGGCCACAGTTTAGATTCAGAGAGATTTGCTTTCTGAATGAAAGAGGATCAGGGCAGGAGTTAATAGAAGAGACACAATAAAACACACATCAGTAAATCAGAGAGAATAAGAGCTTGTTCAGATGTGCATCTCACTGTCTGCTGCTGTCAAACGAGCTGCAAGGAATCAAGATCAGCTCTCAGCCTTGTTGCGGGATATACATAGTAATGTACACAGGCAAAACTCAAACCTTCTGTGTGATTATTAGTGAATGAGACAGTGTTGGTAGGTTTCAACATAGTTGTTATCCAGAAAGGCATTGTCAGCAGGAAAAAAGGACCATTAGTGGAGATGACAGAAAATGGCTTTGGACATAAGAAGAAACACCCACAATATCCACAAAAACCATGAGCTCTGTCCTACACCAGATTTCACATTCACTCTCAGTGGAAAGACTTCTCTATATCAACATCAGGAAAAGATCTGGGTCAGCGCTAGCCAAATAATATCATCTGGGCAAACATATTTCCACTCATCAAGAGCCGAATGGCTGCCAAGAGCTGCAGTTATTAATCACATCTGGACGAGATGGGTTGGGTGATGTATTGCATATTCATGATGTTTGCAATGATTTTTTGTTGGCAATATGAAATTAAGCAGCATCATAAATATGTTCAGTTGGTCAGTCAGTTTCCTGATCTCAGTTTCCTCATTGTGTCGCAGCTTACAAGTAAAACAGCAGTAACCGAGGCTGTCACAAAGTCTCACATTTAAACCTGAACAGCAAAAAAGACAATAGATTTGCGAAGTGAAATTCATTTTGTGACGATGTCATCACAAAAATAAATAAATTAGCATCTATTCAATTCTTTTGAATCCATTACTCATTCAATATTAGAAATATCTTTCATCATCAGTAATATGTTAACAGTAAGTATTAATCATCATTCATTCTCATCATTCATGTTAACCCAATCAGAACACTAAATGCATGTAGCATTAGTAAATATTTCTGTAGTTCCAGTCATCTGGGTGGTTACGGTACGAGTTCCGCCCTCGGATGTACCTTTATTAGTTGATGACGTCCGTTTTGGTAGGATGGCGGTGGCCAAGCGGCAAGCAGTATCTCGAGAAGCTCTGAAGATTCACGCGGCGTTTCTGTTGTTTTACCGCGTTGAAAGTTAAGTCCGTCGGCGATTATAGCGATCCAACAACTTCACATTTGCTGGATTACTAATCACTTCATCACACTTTGCTGGATGCCAAGTAGATTGTTGTTTAAACGCTGCAAGGATGCCGTTGAGCAAGTGTGTATTTTGACATGGACTGACGGATCGGGAGTCTGAAAACTATCAATCTCAACGCTTAAGGAGTCACAGAGTCACGGAATTGAATCGGACTTTCTGGAAAACGAGGTTGTGAGTAAAATACAGCGGCTGTGGATACTGTTGACGGTTGACTGATAATATTAGTATTACTTTTTTTGTGTGTGTGTGCCACTTTGACTATTGGGAGTTCATTTGTGCTGATGATTATATCAGAAACTGAACGGAATGTTTTGGGCTTGAATTGATCTATTTTCCTTGGCTGGACTACATTGCTTATGCTATGGACAATTTCTAATGAACTGCTTGCTCTCCTTTTCTGTGCATTTATTATGTTTTGTCTGATTTGATGAACTTTTGAACCTTGAATATACTGATCTGAAAACTGCAAAAGGTGATTTGTGTTCAATGTTATTTTTTATGTTGAAGGTTTTTTTTCCCATTTGTAAAATTTAAGGATTTCCTAACTCACAAATTTCAGGGTATGTGGCTATTTAGTTACACAGGCCTTTGTATGTTTCTTGACTTAGACTGACTTGACTAAGTTTGGTTTGATTAAATGACAGAAACTCTGTCTGGCACCCCAGCATTTAAAAAGAAAATAATTTTTTCAACCAAGAGCAGGAAACGTTACAATTTCCTATTTGTTAAAAAAAATGTTTTTTTTGATGTATCATGAGGCATTTTACATTTTACAATGTTTCCATAAAAAAGTATATTACATAAATACTGTTGTTTAAATTGGTACATATAAATAAACTATGAACAAAAATATAATATTTATTAATGTATCAAGACAGAGGAGATTCCAAAAGGCTGAAACTGCATTAAAAAAAAATTAAGATTTAAAAAAATATATTTTTACATTATTTCTGGGTCATTAATTAAGCAAATATGTGAGAGTGATCACACTTTCTTGCTTCCGCTGAAAATATGTTTTACACAAATCCATGAGTGCTGTTGTCATTAAAGCAAAAAACAAAAAAAAGAAATAATTAAAATCAGCACTTAATATAAATATGCACTTAAATTATGACAAAATGAAAAAAATAGTTTTAAATTAATAAAATGCATAATAGAAGCACTTCACTAATGGTTTCAAACTTTCAAATCTATCTATCTACATCTCTAGTTAGAGTCATATATCTACAGTGGGTATTGAAAAGAATCACCCTCCTTTAAAATAATCACATTTTGTTGCTTTGCATCCTGAAATGAAGACGGACACAGTTTTTGTTTTATCCAGCTGTATTTACTCAGTGCAACTTATAACATCCAAGTGAAAGATAAAACACCAACATGTCAAAAAAAAAAAACACAGAATCTCTGAGTTGGAAAAAGGATCAGCCCCTTGTGTCAGTATTTAGTTGAAGCACCTTTTGCTTTAATTATAGCTTTTAGTCTGTTGGGATTTGTCTCTACTAACTTTGCACATCTAGTCTTTGCAATATTTGTCCGTTCTTCTCTGCAGAACTGCTCGAGTTGAGTTCAATCTGATGGTAAGTGTTTGTGGTCTGCAGTCTTCAGGTCCTTCCACAGATGTTCAGTGGGGTCTCAGTCTGGGCTCTGACGAGGCCAAACAAGAACATTCAGCTTTTTCTCCTTCAACCACTGTGTGTCAGTTCTGCTGTGTGCTTTGGCTCATTGTTATGTTGGAAGGTAAACCTTCTTCCCATTGACAGCTTTCTGGCAGAGGGTAGCAGATTTTCCTCAAGAATTTGACCGGATTTTGTCCTGTACATGTTTTCTTCTATCCTGACGAGTGCTCCAGTCACTGCTGCAGAGAAACACCCCAGAACAGGACATCACCAGCTCCATGCTTTACTGGAGGAATGCTGTTATCTTAATGCTGAGCTGTGTTGGATTTCCTCCAGACATACTGTTTGGTGTTGAGGCCAAATAATTCAATTTTAGTCTCATCTGCCTCAGAATCTTCAAGGTGTGTTTTGGCAAAGCTCAGTCGTGACTGCATGTGGCCTTTCTTGAGGAGTGGCTTTTTTCTTGCAACCCTGGGGCTGCTTCATATGAGGCCATTTCTGTGGTGGATGAAGTCCAAAGGAGTTTGTCCCTCGTGGCCGGCCCTCCGCCTACTAAGAGTGTTGCACAGTTGCTTTCGCGCCCTCTCAACATGGCGGGACCCTCTCTTTCTTCAGCAGTCAGAATAGACAACATGGCTGGTAGTGTCTCACATAAACATGTGCACCACCTCCTTCTTTGGTCTCAGGACAGGTTTCTTTCCTTGAGAGCGCTTCAAGTCCCCGGGGCTCTGAACCTTGCAGCGGACTTCCTATCGAGGCAGAAACTCAGGTCGGGGGACTGGATGATGACTGGATAGCTCCTTCTACTAGAAGGCTTTATTCTTCCAAGTGGAAGGTTTTTGAGTCGTGGTGTTCGGCTCATTCAGTGGACCCAGTCAGCTGCCCGATTGGTTCAGTGCTGGAGTTTCTGCAGGAGAAGTTTGCGACTGGAGCGGCTGCTACCACCTTGAGAGTTTATATTGCAGCTGTCGCTGCTCGCAGATATGCGGACAAAAGTCCCCCTAGGTAGACATAATTTGGTCTCTTTGTTTATGTGTGGGGTTAGGCATTTGAGGCCGGTGTGCCCTGTCAGTGTTTCTTGCTGGGACTTGTCTATCATCCTGGTGGCCTTATTGGAGTCGCTGTTTGAGCCTTTGGAGTCAGCTCCTGAATGGATTCTGAACTTTATGGTGATGCTCCTGTCGGCGTTGGCTTCTAACAAACACATTGGGGATTTGCAGGCTCTCTCTGTTAGCAAGTCATGCATGGAGTTTGCTCCAGGCCTTGTTAAGTTATTCCTATAGCACAGACCCAGTTATGTCCCCAAGGCCTTGCCCATGTCATTTCGCTCCCAGGTGGTCATGCTTCACTCCTTCTGTCCTCCTCCTTTTGCTTCTGTTGAGGACGAGAGGCTTCATTGGCTCTGCCCTGTTCGAGCTTTGAAGCTCTAGATGGACCACTCTAGCCAATGCCACAAGTCCTCCCAATTGTTGGTGTGTTTTGGTGCTGGCCACAGAGGGCTCACTGCATCAAAACATAGGATTTCTAATTGAGTAAGGGACTCTATCTCGCTTGAGTATGAAGTGCGCGGTCTCTCTTCACCGCAAGGTATTTGAGCTCATTCTACAAGGAGTGTTGTTTCCTCTCAAGCTCTTTTCAGAGGAGTTCCCCTGGAGGGCAGGGTGGATGGTCATCTCCTCACACTTTTATCAGGTTTTATAGCTTGGATTTAGATGTGGCTCCTGGTTTCCAGATTCTTTCTGCTTGAACCAGCCATTTGAGGTTAGCCTGGTCTTTTTTGCATCAGGCCAGATATGGCAGCGCTTAGCTTGGCGGGTGTGGTATATCGTTCCCATTGCATCATAGCTATGCAACGTTGAGTGAAACTATGAAAGAGAACGTCTCGGGTTACTCGCGTAACCCATGTTCTCTGAATAGGGAATGAGACACTGCATTCGCTGCCGAGCTCCTCGCGCTGCCAACAGGGCTTCTTCGGCAGGAGATCTGAGGAGCGGATGGTGCGCCATCAGCCAATGAATTGGCGTGATTCCATACGGGCTTCAGATAATCGCCACCCCCAAGAGGCATTCCCATGGCGTCATAGCTATGTAGCGTCTCGTTCCCTATTCAGAGAACATAGGTTATTCACAAGCCATTTTCCAAGGAAATGAAGAAACAAAATGAATAAAACATATGCAGTCACTGAGATTAAAACACTAGTTAAAAAGCAAAACAAAGCAAACTAACTGCATTCAATTCAAAACAATGTATGAACCAATGGAATATTCTGTGGACACTCTGAGACTCCTGCAGTAAACAGGCAGCAAGGCACTATGGGAAACTCAGCAGGTCACCTAGCAGACATTATATGGTGCCATTAACCCCCAAAGGGCCACCGATGAAAACCTTCTGTGGCTCACGTTTGCTCTCTACTGGATTTCAGCCAGTTCAGCCAAGCGTGTGAAGAGAAATGAGCCCATAATTCACCCGCTGACTTACTGCCGACTGCCTGACTTACAGCGAGCTGAGTATTTCACACACGCTACAGGCTGAGACACCAGCTATCTGAAACCGATAGCAGAGGATAAGGAAACCCAGTACAGCTGAAATCAGGGGAAGTTTGGCAGCACAAGCCTGTTCATTCACTCACAATACAGTCTGGAACAGAATATTATCACATGTCATCGTTAAGTATGTAAGTAGTTTTCATTTTTGAAAAGGTTCCTTTATGAACCAATAAATTAATTAATTAATTAAAGTAAAAATAATTGTTTCAAAGAATGCAAATGCAAAAATGAACAATAAATACATTTTTGTGTTTCAGAAAAAAAGTCTAATCTACTTTTTCCCCACATTTATTTTGCATTCTCAGAGAACAAACACAAAACTAAGAACTAAAGTGAAGAAACTAAGCAAATGCATACAAAATCAAATAATCATTGGATAGGTGATGCTTTAACAAAATGCAAACTGGTAAACGTTTGAGTCATTCGTGCATGTATGAAGTTTTTATATCTATTTTGTCCAAGGTTTCATTATTCATTTGGCAGTTCCTTTTTAGTCTGCATATTACTGGATATTATTAATTAAACCTAAAGAGAGATGAGTAGCTGTTGTCAGACTGTTGTTGGGAGTCTCTGAGGGAGGTGAAGCTAACAAGGCTTGTGTTCAGGTTTATTAGGACAAGAGTGAACGAGCTGCAGTGAAGACGCTCAGGAGATTGTGCTGTAGGGATTAACAGCCTGTCACAACACGTGTGTGTGTGTGTGTGTGTGTGTGTCTGTGCGCGCACGCTGAAGCTGTCTATAAGACACTGCAAGAACAGACACGATGATTATTAGTGGCTTTCTCACTGAGAGAGCGATGCCTTTCACCACTGCTTCAGTCCGTTAAAGGGACATGTCACCCAAAAATTGAAATTCTGTCATCATTTACTTGCCTTCATGTCGTTTCAAACCTGTATGAGTTTCTTCTGTTGAAAAGAAGAAAAAGAGAAGATATTTTAAGGAATGTTGGTGACCAACAGTTGCTGGTAGCCATTGACTTCCATATAATTTTTTCCCTACTATAGAAGTCAATGGCTACCAGCAACTGTTTGATTCCCAACATTTTTCAAATGATCTTCTTTTGTGCTCAACAGAAGAAGGAAACTCATACAGGTTTGAAATGACATGAGGGTGAATAAATGATGACAGAATTTCCATTTTTGGGTGAACTGTCCCGTTAACAACAAGTAAGGACTGCGCCATCTAGAGTTTCATGCCAGAACTCTGTATTTATTGTGTGGTTTATGTATTTAATTTTTAGATTTAAATGTTTCTGATTGCAATTCCATTATACGTCAAAATGATTGATTATGGTTATATCTTTAGTTATAATGGTTAATACAACATCCTTGGACTTAAAATCCTGGGAGTGAGTATGAACGATCATTAAAAGATCTAATAAAAAATGTTCAAAAATCTAAAAATGCTTGTCTGAGTGCCATGATTAAATCCTTTAACACTCTTTAATATCTATGAATCTTGTAAATATTTGTCATAATATCAGATATTAAAAGCTTCACTGCATTGATTTTAGAGGTGATGCCAGCTCTGTTTGTGCAGTTGTGTTTCTCCCAAATGTGTTGTAGACAGAAGCTGGGATAAAATACCTCGCAGTTCGGGTCTGAATCAAAACTTCAAGTCAGAAAGATATCAGAGAGCTTCTTTTCCATATGCTTTTGTTTTCAGAGCAGCTGGCAGAAGCAGCATCAGCGAGTCAAAGCTGCAGCACCTGAGGCACTCTGCTTTCATGATCCGCTCAAAGCTGCATTTGAGCACAATCAAACCCAGACCCGCCATGACGTGGTCTTCAGAAAGAAAGACATGAAATGTCACAAAGACAGCTCCAGACTCAAACTCAAAGGTGATTTTTTTAGATGTCAGAATGCCTTTAAATGATCCGTCATATCAAACATGAGTGAAGGAGGTTGAGGAAAAGCTCACCTCTCTCTTCCAGACGGGGTTGACCGTGTTGCAGATGATGCCTGACCGTTTCTCCTGACCGTGATGAGGCAGCGCAGGGAAGATGCTGTGCTTTCCAGGCTGGATGGCGATTTTCAGATACGGGTCAGGATTGAAGAACATTCCCTTCTTCAGACTGACTGCCTGAATGTCTGAAAAAAAGCAGAGCAAAGGAAAACTTTATGGTGAAATGACAACTAAAATATGTAGTGTAATTATTACCATAGTAATATTATTAAAATGATCAATTATCTTATTATTATTATTTGCAAATTCTAATTTGTTGCGTTTTCAGTGAATTATTCATTCCAGTGTGTTTCGCTTTTAAATTTCGGTCATATTCTGTGATTGTCTCTGAAGAGCGCGAGCCCTCACACGTCACGCGCTGTGTGAAGTACAGACTGAACGGATTGTCAACACATCCCACCGCTGTATGGCAAACTACGGTTTCTCGACTGGATATACATTAGATTTTTTTGGCATCTCCATGTGGTCCTGTTCGGTATCGCAACTTGGCTTCTCGAAAATGTAAAAAACTCTTTGGTGTTGCACTGTACTCATACTATAAAATTCAGATTTTTTTATTTTATATGTGCTTATATGGGCTCCTTTTGGAGTTTCTAAGTGTCCATTTTATATATATATATTGAAATAGCTGCTACACTATATTATTACATTATAAATATAAATGCTGTTTAATAATATTTATTTATTTATTTAAATGCAACAATTATGAATTAAATTAAAAATGTCTTTACTACTACTACTACTACTAGTAGTAATAATAATAATTATTTAATAATAATTCAGGCTTCTACCCAGTACATATCCAGAAAGTTACTCCATTCCCATTAATATTCAACTGCATATGTGACCCTGGACCACAAAACCAGTCATAAGGGTCAATTTTTCGAGCTTTCCATTGATGTATGGTTTGTTAGGATAGGACAATATTTGGCTGAGATACAACTATTTGAAAATCTGGAATCTGAGGGTGCAAAAAAATCTAAATATTGAGAAAATCGCCTTTAAAGTTGTCCAAATGAAGTTCTTAGCAATGCATATTACTAATCAAAAATTAAGTTTTGATATATTTACGGTAGGAAATTTACAAAATATCTTCATGGAACATGATCTTTACTTAATATCCTAATGATTTTTGGAATAAAAGAAAAATCTATAATTTTGACCCATGCAATGTATTTTTGACTATTGCTACAAATATCCCCCAGCGACTTAAGACTGGTTTTGTGGTCCAGGGTCACATATGTTCTAATATTTGTGTTTCCTGGTGCCCTTGTAATATTAAAACATAATTTATAGAGAAACAGGGGAAGCGAGAGGCTTAAAGGCTAAAGCCGTAAAGTCTGAGTCTGGGAATATGAAGAGAAAAGCAGGAAGTGTCAGAATCCCACAGGAGCTCATTATCTCCTCCAGTATCCAGATGGCAGACAGAGATGGGCTCGGGTGGGACGTATTATTGCACTGTCATAATCTACTGACTATGAGCTTAATGCATTTTTAACAGTATAGTTGGAGCATCTGTGTGTGTGATGCCATTTAGAGCCAGAGGACCTCCCATATTCACTGAAAAGATGTTAAATTATTGCACAATCATTTTTGAGTGAACTGCTGCTTCATGATCTTAAGTTTATGTTAAGTTAAAATGGCTGTCATTGGTGTTACCCAGTGGATTTCTATCAGGTTTCTTCTCAAACAGCCCTGACAAGCTAATAGAACAAGAGGATGTTCCCTCGGTTTCAGGTTTTTGCAGGTCAACTGTCCACAAGCCATAACTTTGGGCTAAAAGGAACCGTGTTCTTCATCTCCCGAGGGGGTTTTCTGCTCACTGAGGAGATTCACTGGCAGCTGGACCTTCTTCAAGTGCATGTGTTTGTAGCAGCATGTTCAGACAGACCTTACGCTCACGGCAGAAGATGGTGCTATGAATAAAACATACAGTGCTGAGGGAGTCCTGAAGAGTACTGACAATAGTTTGGCCATCGCAACTTCAAATATAATTGAGAAGACAGAGAAAAAGAGAGGATATGAAGAGACAAGATTGATCCTTTGATAATGAATATTTTAAATTATGTTTGGGTTTAAACAGTTTAATTCAGAAGTTAACATAATACAGAAGCCCTGCTGCATATTTCAAAGCGGTTCTCAAATTTCTCAAGAATCGTTGAAAAAAGAACCAAAAAAACCTTGTTATTTCTGCAGGTTTCATTGAAATGGCTCATTGAAATAACTCCACAGTGAGTGTGAAACGCTAGAGGATTCATGGGAAATTGTCGCTCATTGCAACATAGAAACAACAGAAAAGGGTTATAAAGGTTTTATGAAGCTCAGAGACTTCAGTGAGAGAGAGAGACATTTCTGAGGCTAGAGATGAAAATGTTGAGATGCTTCTCTAAAACAAAAAATGTTCCCTTGCTGCCGCTGATCGCAGTGCGAGTATAAATAGGCAGCAGATGCACCGCATACTCAGCTTTTCGCTTCGGAGCCGAGTGGTGTTATCGTTCTGCTCCTGCCAAGCCTTCGTTTGAACGAATGAGTCAGCGCGCTCAAAGGAGCTTCTCTGTGCGGGTGGTACGGCACTACAGAGGGTTGGTCGACCTTCGTTGAGTGGGTGCAAACTACAGGCTGCACTACCCCCTGTAGAGTTGCGGCAGCCATCTCCCCCGTGTGCTTCAGCACAATTAAAAGAGCATTCACGGGTGAACGTCTTTTTAAAGATGGCATTTCACCTGTGCGTTTCTGGATGCGGTCGTTACCTGGCGCCGGGTGATGGTCACGATCGCTGCCTCACGTGCCTGGGCATTAAGCACGCTGAGGTGGAGTTCGTGGATGAGTCATGCTCTCATTGCCGGAAGATGACCATCTCGGAGTTGCGGACCAGGCTCCTTTACCTAAAAAGGGGTGGAGTTCCGGGGCCTCTGCCACGATCTAGTTCTCTTCCTGGCAGAAGTCATGGGAGGACTACATCTGGCAGTAGCTCGGGCAGTTTGAGGATCACAGTGGTGGCAACCCCTCCGAGGAACCAACCTCCCAGGGACCGCCACTCCTCTAGCACTTCGCAGCCAGTCGAGCTCCCTCTGGGCCCTCTACAAGGAGCATACCAGCCATATCCTTTGGGGCTCCTCCCGACGATTGGATGTAGAGGAAGATCCTCTTTGGAGAGGAAGATTCGGCTGCGCTGCCGCCCTCCGGGACGGTAGCAAAGCCTGAATCGGATCCAGAGATGACGGCTATGCTTTCCCGGGCCGCCGAGAGGGTAGGGCTTGAGTGGAAACCTCCACCGCGTCCCGAGCCCTCGAGGTTGGATGACTGGTTTCTCGGGGTGGCCCGCGCTGGTTCTCAGTGCCCCACTCCGGTGCCATTCATCCCGGAGGTGCATGAGGAGCTCACCAGGTCGTGGATGGCACCTTTTACTGCCAGAAACCGGCCTGGTTGTTCCTCCTCCCTCACCACCCTCGATGGTGGAGCAGCCAAAGGGTATATGGAGATCCCCCCGGTGGAGCGGTCGGTAGCGAGCAGAAGCAGACTGAGGCGATTCGACAGCTGCTGCCTCCACCTCTCCGCCGGCCGCAGCACCTCAGCCTGCTCGTCGCAGAGTGCGTCCCCCTGCAGCCGCCCCCGCGCCGCAGCAGCCTCCAGCTAAGCAGCGCCGTGGAGCCGGTCGCAGGGCATCCGCCCCGCCCGTCTCGGCCCCCGCCAAACCTGCTGGCAAGTGGAAGAGCAAGAGGCCCTGAGACGGGCGACCCGAGATGGAGGGAGTTGCTCTTCGGGAGATGGTGAACGCAACACTCCCTCCCCCGGAGGAGGGCTGGGCCGAGAATCTTTTGTTTTGTTTTATCCCGCCACTGACCTCTCGGTCGGTAGTACTCAAACACTCAATAAAAGAGCAAATTCCTCTATCTCTGGGTCTCAAGAGGGCACAGAGAGTTGTGGACGGTCCAGAGCTGGATCACACTCATCCTCCTCTGTCGCCAGTAGGGGTGTAATGATTCACTAATTTTCTCGATGCATCGATTACAAACCCTGACGATGCAATGCATCGATCTTGAAACATGGATTTTTGAATCGTGAATCGCCGATTTCGGACAGTAATCGATTTAAAATGCTAAGAATCGAATGAATCGCGATTTCTATATATCAAAATATATACACATTAAATTACTACAAGCACGAATTAATGGAGACCTTGAACAGTGTTCGTGCCCTCGCATCTCTCCTTCACTCGCTGCAGTATTTACTGCCTGTGACTGTCACAGGATTGGGCTCGCGCTCAGTTCGTCTCACTGACACATTTTTTGAGGAGCTGATGTGTGATCTCTCCTTAGTACTTGTGGCCAGTAATGCTAAAGTGAAGTAGTTTTACTTTTCTGAAGTTTTTATTGACTCTCGGTCATACCAACTACATTACCAGAGCAGGTGAAGGCTGCGCATTTATTGCATGGATAGAGCAAAAATGTAAGTGTCTAAAGCATATGCACAGTTCCATTGAATGATAAATGTGTTTTAACAATGTTGTTGAACCGACTGTACGAAGGAAACTGTTAAAATAACCACAGCATTAACAACAACCTTGAAATAAGAGCGCGAGGTTTATCTGATAATCAGATGCATAAAAGTAGCGTTTGTTGCTATAGCAAACAGACATCCGGCATTTTTGGCCAATCAGAGCACACCTCGCTTTTTCAGACCGATGAGCTTTGTAAAAATCGACGCGTTTCAGAAAGGTGGGGCATAGAGGAGAAACAATAATGTACAGTATGTGGAAAATAACAGACAGCACGCCTCACAGAGGAACGTGCTCAGTTGGTGTTGTGCTGCTTGAATTCATTCAAAGTCAGGACGGCGGTCCCACTGAAACGATTTCAGAGGCTCCTGGGGCATATTTCAGCTGCTGCGGCAGTCACGCCACTGGGGCCGCTTCATGTGAGACCGCTTCATCACTGGCTCCATGGCCGAGTCCCGAGGTGGGCGTGGAGTATGTCTCACTCACCGGGTCCAAGTCACACTGGCCTGCCGCCAAACCTTCACCCCGTGGTCAGACCTCACGTTTCTTCAGGCAGGAGTGCCCCTAGAACAGGTCTCGAGGCATGCTGTGGTACACATGGATGCCTCCACCACCGGCTGGGGTGCCACGTACAACAGGCAAGCAGTCTCGGGGGTGTGGACGGGCCCCCAACTGCACTGGCATATCAATTGCCTGGAGTTGTTAGCAGTGCGCCTTGCCTTGAACCATTTCAGAGTACGCTTTCAAGGCAGGCACGTACTGGTCCGTACGGACAACACTGTGACCGTTGCGTACATCAACCGACAAGGTGGTCTGCGCTCCCATGGTATGTCTCAACTCGCACGCCACCACCTCCTTTGGAGTCAGAAGCATCTGAGATCGCTTCGTGCCATTCACATTCCGGGCCTGCACAACCGTGCAGCCGACGAGCTGTCATGAGCTGTGCTCCCCGGAGAGTGGAGACTCCATCCCCGGACGGTCCAGCTGATTTGGAGACATTTTGGAGTTGCTCAGGTAGACCTGTTTGCCTCTCCTGAAACCTCTCACTGCCAGCTGTTGGCGTCCATCCATGGCGCTTTGGTAGCGATTCCCAATTCATCAGTCCCGTCGCCACAGCTGCTGTACCACCGCTGAGCGGCCGGGTCACCGCCTCGGCTCCGAAGCAAAAACCTGAGTATGCGGTGCATCTGCTGCCTATTTATACTCGCGCTGCGATCAGCGGCAGCTGGATGCAATCATCGCATGCCAATGTGCATTGGCTCGTTTAGTTTACACTCGAAGTAGATTGGTCTCTCTAGCGAGATTCCTAATTTGTTGGTCACCGACGTGACGTCTCCGTTCCCTCCTTCAGGGAACGAGGGTTACCTACCGTAACCGAGACGTTCCCTTTCAGTCGGTCACTCTCGATGTAATTTATTTCTGTGATGCGCAGCTGTATTTTCAGCATCATTACTCCAGTCTTCAGTGTCACATGATCTTCAGAAATCATTCTAATATGCTGATTTGCTGCTCAAGAAACATTTCTGATTATTATCAATGTTGAAAACAGTTGTTCTGCCCAATATTTTTGTGGAAACTGTGATACATTTTATTTTTCAGGATTCACAGAAGAATAGAAAGTTCAAAAGAACAGCATTTATTTGAAATATAAATATTTTGTAACATTATAAATGTCTTTACTGACACTTCTGATCAATTTAATGCATCCTTGATGAATAAAAGCATTAATTTCTTACTTTCAAGGTATTACTGACCCCAAAAACTTGAATGGCAGTGTTTATTTATTTAATTAAACTGCTTAAAAACCAATAGCAAATCAATTCCTGTGTACATTTACAATAAATGTGGAGGAGATTTTCAACAGTTGGCAAACTACTGCATATACCTATACTTCATCACTAGCATTACTTACAAATGATCTCATTGCATTTTTTATGTATTTGGCACAATTTTCATTCAAGATGTTCTTTTTTTTTAGATAGATAAATACATTCATACACACACACATAGCCAGCACTGACTTACCTGACAGAGAGAAGCTGATGAGCCTCCTGCTGCCCAGAGTCTGAGGAAGCTCCTGACTGATGACAGGCTTCAGCGCCTATCAGAGAGAATGACAGCAGTCAGCTGATCACGTGACTGAAGGACAGGAAGAGCTGCTGACAACAGGAAGTAACTCTACACAGGCCACGCCCCCCTTTTTTCGTTCCTCTTCTGTTTTTTTCAGCAGTGTCTGGCTTGATATACTGTGCTTAAAGCCCATTACAGACGCCCGGCTCATGGCACCAATCAATAGCACGCATTCATTAGGACTGCATTGATTCAGCATCCAGGAAGTGGAAGGGAAGGAGGAGAGGGAGAGGCTCATGGGACGGCACTTCTCAGAAGAGGAAAAACTCAAGCTCTATGGCTGATAGGGAACACTGGCTCCAGGGTTATTACTGTGAACTACAGACCAAAATAAGTGACTTAAAAACACTTTTGTCAACTGAAGAAAAAAATACTGCAATATACTGTACAAGTTCAAAAGGAATAAAATACCAAAAACAAAAAAAATAAAAAAACTAATTTTTATAACCATCCATCTTCGTTTTTATAATCATCTTTCTTCAGAAATACAGAAATATACCTGTGCCTGTGTGCAGTAAGAAATCCCACCTGCAGATGGCAATACATGTGTGATGATGCATACAATAAAATAAAATAAAATAAAATAAATTAGAAGTGTTGCCTTGGCAATTAACTGAAATAAGTTGAAGCACTAAAATTACTAACTGGAAATCAATAAAAATATCTAAAATAGTGAACTATTATACTTTACATTATTTGAGATAGTAAAATGATCTTGGGGTCCAGGGTTATTATCACGACTAAAACTATCAAAATCATTTTTGTTCATTGAAATAAAATAATAAAATAAAATAAAAAATAATACATTAAAAATTAGAAATGTTGTCTTAGCAACTAACTGAAATATGTTTAATTTGATGCACTAAAATTAGTAACTGGACATAAATAAAAACTAAAACTGACGACTTTATGCCAAAGACTTTCACTTCTTTTCAACAGGACGACGTGCACAGAATGACAGTCAAAGGGATTTAAAACACAAAACAACACATTTAGTGCAGAAATGACCTCTCAACACTTAATTTCAGTCAGTCTACTATAACCTCCTACTTTCCAATCTTTGTAATGTGAAGTTCCAGAAAACTACCTATAAATGAGTCCAAACATCCTTCAGAGTGTACAGAGACAAACAGCAGGCAGACAGAAAAGCGGTTCACACCCAAATGAGATGCAGATCCTGTCCTCCTGAGCGCTGCTGCTGGCCTGAACGCAGCTTTACCCAGATTACTCAGATTAAACAGATCTGCGGGAGACTCAACTGTGCTTCAGTGGGACTCTGGCACGGACCACACACTACCGTCGGGATCCAGACCAGTTATTACACAAAAGGTGGTGGTTTGAACCACGAATCCTACTTCAGCCTGCCGATCAATCTGTTTGTTAGAGTTTCACGGTGATGCTGTTTGTTTTTAGTAATTATTCGATTTTTATTTTATTAAGAAAATTTGTTGCCAGGGTATCTATGTGGTTGCTAAGGAGATTTAAGTTGCTGTAAAACTGTTGCTAGGTGGTTGCTAGCGTGTCAGAAGAGCCAAATCACAAGTCTCTATGACATTCAGGTCTCTAGATATAGATTAAGAAATCAAATGAATGTTTCATTTCCAAAAGATACAAAGGAGTAAAACTGACTTTATGGTCACTATGGATTTATGTCATTAGTCTAAACATGCCACAACATACCATAAAGCCATATGCAAATATTTTTTGTAAAAAAACAAAACAAAACATATAAATGAAAAAAAAAACATTTATATAAAAAAAAAAAAATA